GTGTACGGCTTATAGTTCCTTGGGAATGGACCTGCTTCAAAAACTTTAACCTGCTCCAAAAACTTTAACCTGGTCACTCATCTAGAAAATGTAGGTCAGATCCAGCATCCGAAGCAAGTCTGCTAGTTTACATCCCTAGATGCATCATCCATGCAGGTTGGGTTCAGGTAGGGCTTATAGTTACTTGGGAATGGACCGGCTCCAAAATCTTTAACCTGGTCACTCATCTAGAAAATGTAGGTCAGATTCAGCATCCGAAGCAAGTCTGGTAGTGTCCATCCCTAGATACATCATCCATGCAAGTTTCGTCCAAATAGGGCTTATAGTTCCTTTGGAATGGACCTGCTCCAAAAACTTTAACCTGTTTACTAGGTAGAGCTTATAGTTACTTGGGAATGAAAATGTAGAACAGATCCAGCATCTGAAGCTATTCTGGTAGTGTCCATCCCTAGATGCATCATCCATGCAAGTTAGGTCCAGGTAGGGCTTATAGTTCTTTGGGAATAGACCTGCTCCAAAAACTTTAACCTGATCATTCATCTAGAAAATGTAGGTCAGATCCAGCATCCGAAGCAAGTCTGGAAGTGTACATCCCTAGATGCATCATACATGCAAGTTTGATCCGGGTAGGGATTATAGTTACTTGGGAATGGACCTGCTCCAAAAACTTTAACCTGGTCACTCATCTAGAAAATGTAGGTCAGATTCAGCATCCGAAGCAAGTCTGGTAGTGTACATCCCTAGATGCATCAACCATGCAAATTTGGTCCATGTACGGCTTATAGTTCCTTGGGAATGGACCTGCTTCAAAAACTTTAACCTGCTCCAAAAACTTTAACCTGGTCACTCATCTAGAAAATGTAGGTCAGATCCAGCATCCGAAGCAAGTCTGCTAGTTTACATCCCTAGATGCATCATCCATGCAGGTTGGGTTCAGGTAGGGCTTATAGTTACTTGGGAATGGACTTGCTCCTAAAACTTTAACTGGGATGCTGACGCTAACGCCGACGCCAACGCCGGGGGTATAGCATAGGCTCATCTCGACTTCGTCGAGGTGAGCTAAAAATAGTAACTTTTGAATATCAAAGTAGATCATGAATCATACATTCATTGTGCATTAACAGATGAATAAGTATTTCAGACACTGGAAGAATATGTTACAAAAACAATTAAAAACTGATAATGATACTTAGAAAATAAGGTCTTCATTGACATATAATTATCTTATTTGAAAAAAAAAAACATTCTGACGAAATTATTTCAAAATATCAATATACATGTAATGTTAAGGCAATTAGTATATGGGTCCTAAATTATCAGGATTTGAGTTTACCTGGAACCACCGAATGTAAACAAACAGGCCAGTCTGGTTCCCTCTCCTGCTTTTCTTTACTACAATAACACAAAGAACACTGACTATCTCAAATCCTAATGCCAATGAACTATGTAATTTGACTTAGGACTGAAGTTGTCAATGTCATTAATACTGATGTATATCTGTATAGATAAAACTTCGTTTTATATTTTTCCCTTTATTTATCGTTTCTATTATCTCAAAAGCGGTTAAGATTAAGGACTATATTTTTACACGCAACTATAATTTGGCAACTTTTGAGGTGGACTTTCTGTCTGGAACAGGTTGAACAAAAGCTGGAAATTGCTCTTTGAGCAATAAACCCTGCTAAAAATGAAGTCTACTTTTCCAATATTTTGTCAATTAACAAATTATATAATTTATTTGAATGGAAACCAGCGAAAATGCAGGAAGCTTTCAAATGATAAATATGCATCTTCCAATGAATTTCGAATTTTCACAGGATGCTCTGTTGAGCAGATTCACATTAACATGCATGGCTGATGTGATTTTTTTTTAATTGGTTTCTTGGAGAAGGAACCGTTGCTTCCTATTTTAATCAATTTAGATTAAATGTTGCCATGGTGTAAACCAACACCACTCTGATTACAAAGGGAGTACACTATTGACAACCTGTGACATTTTCAAGGGTTTATATTGAAGATTTGACAGAATAGACGGGTAAGGCCAAGTTTATCAGGTTGAGACCACTACCTTATATGGAAGGCAATTTTCAACACGTGACAATATTTTTGTCACACCCGTTCACCAATCAAGTGAACGTGTCCCAGAGCATGACACTTTACTACGTGTTTACGATTCAATGGCGACACATGGTTTTCATCGGTTTCTGCATAATATTCCCTTTGTCACCGGAAAAATCGTAGAGCTTCTTTATTACTTTTTCATTCCGAAATTGAAAGATTACATCCCAAAGACATTGCTCCATGCTCACATTTAATATTGGAGTTGTTTTAGATGATTAATAGTTGCTTCGAAAGTTCGAATTATGTGCTAACGCTTTGGTGTTTGCATGTACATTAAAAACTTTTAGATAATAATAAGGGGCTAAACAATAATAGCACACCTTGTACTGCTGTCTAAAACTATGTACACGTATATCACATGAAACAAGAGGCCCACGGGCCTTATAGGTCACCTGAGTATTGTGTAACAACTTTCAAACAATTCTTGGTTCGTGTTTTTAAACAAAGGGCCATAAAATTCACAATTTTGAAAGAGGCACCATTGCGTATCATACTTATTAACTTAGCATGCTTACTCTATCTATTTGTACCCAGAAGTAGATCACATTATCAAAGAAAAAATGCACTTTCACTTTATACCCAGTTGTGCACCTCACCCCAAAGGAACCACTGTCCCAGGGGCAACATATTACAAAATTTTGCAAATTTTATAATAAAATGGTTGATTAATACCTAAGAACAGATTTCAAAGCATTAATATATTTTCAGACTATGTAACCCCCCTCCCCCCCAACCCAGGGGAGATAAAAAAAAAAAACAACACTTTGCTAGATGCACCTTTCTTCATCATAAATATATATACTTGGATCATTGGCATAAAACCCAGAAGCAAAGGAAAATATTTGCAAAGAATTAATGTATTTTTACTATATAATCAATTGAGCCCTGCCCTAACACCAGAATCCCTGACCCTGGGATCATAAAATTCACAATTTTATAGGAGGCACTCTTGCTCATGTGCACATATCTGATACTGGTCCCACGAATGTTACAAATATGTTCAAAAATAAAAGTTGTTTAATCAGAAACTTTGGGGTATATTTCTGTTGTTCTGACACCTAACTTTTAAAATCTTGAAAATCAGACCTAGAGTATTCATAGTTTTTGTTTGACAAAGGGTTGAAAATGCAACTTCACGTTTTCTTGTGTTCATAACAAGTGTCTTTCAGTTTGTGATAATGAATGAACAAAATTGTTATTCAATGTTAAAGATTCATTTTCTTCTCTTTTATGTAATATGTAACAGTTTACAAACTAATTATTCAAATTTCAACTCCCGATTGTAACAATTCTGAAATGATTTACTTTAGACACCGTTATGAACAACATTATCGGTATAAGAAGTTTACAGTGAATAAATTTCCTTAAAGTCTCCTGCTGAACATGCACATCCTTACATACTGTGTTGTCATCCATGTATTTTATTGTAATGTTTTAAGCTTTTTACTGGTTAATGAAAATTTAATTGCAAAAAAGTTTCCTCATTTTATTGTTCATAACCAAGACACTTGAAGGCCGGAGTGGTAGTGATGTTTCCTTTATTCACATTTTAACTCAACCACCTTCTGTTGCATGTTACTTGTTATAACATATATTCCAATCCGCAGTAATTCTGGTAATATATTTCATGCATATTAGCTATTAGTTGGAAATAGTATCACCAAGCCTGCAGAGGAGATTCCAGAGCAATATCGTGTGTGACCAACAACCATGTATGTGAATGACTTGAAAGTTATCCTGGGATGCCAATGATACAAAAGCACCAGACAAATTATTTTCAATAACTGTTTTAATATAAATTTAGTTCATTTCAAAAATATTCTTCTTCCAAATTACAAATCTGAAAAGAAATAAAAAAAATAACTGTATATACAGTTTTGATCAAACCAATTGAAATTTGTTGGCTGGGCCCTCTATGGTATGGGGCTCTTCAAATGGCTGGGCCCTCTATGGTCTGGGGCTCTCCACTCAGTGCCACTTGTGGTTCCTCAGGTTGACTTATAATGGCTGGGCCCTCTATGGTCTGGGGGTCTCCACTCAGTGCCACTTGTGGTTCCTCAGGTTGACTTATAATGGCTGGGCCCTCTTTGGTCTGGGGCTCTTGTAATGGCTGGGCCCTCTATAGTCTGGGGCTCTCCACTCAGTGTGACTTTTGGTTCCTCAGGCTGACTTATAATGGCTGGGCCCTCTTTGGTCTGGAGCTCTTATAATGGCTTGGCCCTCTATGGTATGGGGCTCTTCAAATGGCTGGGCCCTCTATGGTCTGAGGCTCTCCACTAAGTGTGACTTGTGGTTCCTCAGGTTGATTTATAATGGCTGGGCCCTCTTTGGTCTGGAGCTCTTAAAATGGCTTGGCCCTCTCTGGTATTGGGCTCTTCAAATGGCTGGGCCCTCTATGGTCTGAGGCTCTCCACTAAGTGCGACTTGTGGTTTCTCAGGTTGACTTATAATGGCTGGGCCCTCTTTGGTCTGGGGCTCTCCACTCAGTGCCACTTGTGGTTCCTCAGGTTGACTTATAATGGCTGGGCCCTCTATGGTCTGGGGCTCTCCACTAAGTGCGACTTGTGGTTTCTCAGGTTGACTTATAATGGCTGGGCCCTCTTTGGTCTGGGGCTCTCCACTCAGTGCCACTTGTGGTTCCTCAGGTTGACTTATAATGGCTGGGCCCTCTTTGGTCTGGAGCTCTTATAATGGCTTGGCCCTCTATGGTATGGGGCTCTTCAAATGGCTGGGCCCTCTATGGTCTGAGGCTCTCCACTAAGTGTGACTTGTGGTTCCTCAGGTTGATTTATAATGGCTGGGCCCTCTTTGGTCTGGAGCTCTTAAAATGGCTTGGCCCTCTCTGGTATTGGGCTCTTCAAATGGCTGGGCCCTCTATGGTCTGAGGCTCTCCACTAAGTGTGACTTGTGGTTCCTCAGGTTGATTTATAATGGCTGGGCCCTCTTTGGTCTGGAGCTCTTAAAATGGCTTGGCCCTCTCTGGTATTGGGCTCTTCAAATGGCTGGGCCCTCTATGGTCTGAGGCTCTCCACTAAGTGCGACTTGTGGTTTCTCAGGTTGACTTATAATGGCTGGGCCCTCTTTGGTCTGGGGCTCTCCACTCAGTGCCACTTGTGGTTCCTCAGGTTGACTTATAATGGCTGGGCCCTCTATGGTCTGGGGCTCTCCACTAAGTGCGACTTGTGGTTTCTCAGGTTGACTTATAATGGCTGGGCCCTCTTTGGTCTGGGGCTCTCCACTCAGTGCCACTTGTGGTTCCTCAGGTTGACTTATAATGGCTGGGCCCTCTTTGGTCTGGAGCTCTTATAATGGCTTGGCCCTCTATGGTATGGGGCTCTTCAAATGGCTGGGCCCTCTATGGTCTGAGGCTCTCCACCAAGTGTGACTTGTGGTTCCTCAGGTTGATTTATAATGGCTGGGCCCTCTTTGGTCTGGAGCTCTTATAATGGCTTGGCCCTCTCTGGTATTGGGCTCTTCAAATGGCTGGGCCCTCTATGGTCTGAGGCTCTCCACTAAGTGCGACTTGTGGTTTCTCAGGTTGACTTATAATGGCTGGGCCCTCTTTGGTCTGGGGCTCTCCACTCAGTGCCACTTGTGGTTCATATTCTTTTATGTTCCCTCCACTTTTTGTGCTGTTCCTCACAAGTGTTACCGGGTCTTCAGGTTTCCACTCATTATCTGCCTTTCCCTGCATTTTCAGTCTCTCTCTGTACCTCTTCTGGCCGACTCTTTTTCTGACTCTGACACTTTCTTTTTCCTACAGACTCCATCATCTGAAAAATAACACATGACATAGTAAGACAAAGATGTAATTAAGCCTTGTGATAATGAAGCATGAAAACTATTTCTTGTTGTGTCACAAGTGTCCATGTTATGAACAAACCAAGTTCCTGATATATTTTTTCACCCCATGCTACAACAATATTAAAACCTCATTTTAACTTAAACCTTCCAGTCAAGTAAAATTCTTCAGATATTTTAATAAATCTTTAAAATCTATCTTTTAATAGTCTTATATAGATGTTCATAACAACAGACGACAAAAAAAATTATACAATTTGTGTCCGTATGATGAACAATTGCAGACTTGTTTAATCATTAAATTTTATGTTTGTTACTGCTTATAAACATTTTATTATAAAATATTAGTCTATTTTTTTTCAAAATGAAATTGCAAATTTACAGAATAATAATTCTGAATCAAACTATTCAAATGGTTTTCTGTTCATAATTTGGACTCTGGAAACTGCACATCCATTACAGGGTCTTGTTATGAACAATACCTTTTTTAAAATTCCCACACCTTGTGATACTTAAATAAAGCAAAATTCTCTCAAACTGATTGTCTTAGAGATTTTAATTAGTTTTATTTTCTGTGTGTATCACTGGTCAAATATCAAAGCAGAAAATGTGGCCTTCTTTATTCGTTCATAACGTTAGATGCATGTCAAAAACAAGTTGGAGCCGTCTCTGTTATGAACAAAAGTTAAAAGTCTAAAACCCTTTTTTGTGTTCTGACTTGCACTGAGATCAGCATTTGTTCTTGTGTCAGATACAAATTTCATTTATTTCTTTAGTCTAAGCATGCCGAAACTGTTATTATGTTCCGTACAGTAAAATTACACTGTCGTTCATAAAAAGGACACATGCTGCATGGCGTTTGTCGTTTCGTTTCAAGAGTATTTCTGGCTTTAATTTTCTCAAACACCCATATCGCTTCCTCATATCGATGAATAAATGTTCATACTACAATAAAGTTTATGCCATTTCACTTATTGCAAACCATAAATGCCCTTTAACACCATAAAAAGAAAATTCTCACCTTAGCTTCCGTTCATAACAAGCTTTGACAGTTTTGGACACTGCTATTTAGTAAGCGTCATTGAACACATGGTTGTGTACACATATTTGCGATCTACGTCACCGGACTTTGTGTACACATGAGTTCAATCGGTGTAGGGTGGTTTCGCGCCGATTACGTGTTCGCGCCGAGTGGTATCGCGCCGGGTGGTTTCGCCCCCTTTATCTACAGGTATCTACAGGTAAGGTATTGGTAGTATACAGAATGGCTTCCCCCGATTATTGGTAGTATACAGAATGGCTTCCCCCGATTACCTGTAATTATATAAACCAGTAGCCTGTTATTAATGAACCCCAAGCGCTAATGTCGTGTTGTGTTGAGTAATTATCCTATTTTGTAGTACAAGTAACACCTTTATTGAGGCCATTTTTATTTTAACCAAATTATGACTATTTGATCAAATTTGATCGTTTAATTTGGAATAATTTAGGATTGGATGTTAAAATATAATTTTTATTTCTGTTGAAATATTAAATTTATTTCTGTTGAAATATACTATTTATTTCTGTTGAAATATAATATTTATTTCTGTTGAAATATAATATTTATTTCTGTTGAAAAATAATATTTATTTCTGTTGAAATATAATATTTATTTCACAAATATCGTCTTTTCAATGAAGGTTGTCATTGTTTCTCATTGAAACTTTTCCTTATAGTATTGTGTATATACCGTGTTTTATATCAGTCCTTAAAAACATTTCTAAAATTATTGGTTGTTCATAGTATATTTCATGATATTATAGACTGCTGATCAATGCTTTTTCACTAGTCCTGAACTGCATCATGTTTCATCAGCTCATCAATGACTTATGGTAAAAAGAAGAAGGCATATGTTTACTTTCATAAATTTATTTGGTATTTATCAATATTAACATATAAAATATAGACAACCACATCAACATACAATAAATACATATGAAAGAAAGCACATCAGCATGCACACCAGCATACAATAAATACATACACATCAGCATACAATAAATACTCATATGAAAGAAACCACATCAACATACAATAAATTATACATATAAAAAGAAAGCACTAGTCAATGAAGTTCACAAAAAAAACACAGAAGAAACACCATGTCCAAGCACTAGTCTGCAGACGTGGGTGAAGTCCAATGGAATCCGGAAACACAGGAATGAAACACACTACTGTCACTCACATGGGGCGTACAACGAGCCACAAAGACGGAGAAAGTGTCCTGTAGAGATGTCCCCAGCATCATACTGCTCCCAGGCCGTGTCCAGTTTCTTCTGGGTGGCGTTGGAGGAATGGCGAACATTCCTCAACAGGTTGTCACTGGACACTCGGGTTTCCACCAACTTGGCCTCCTGGAGAAGTAGTGGAACTAACTTGTAGAAAGTACAACTACGATGCCCAGCTTTTCCGTTGACCCTGTGATGCCACCCTTAAATAAATAAAAATAAATTTATTAATCACATATTTTTTTTTTAATAAATATACTCATTACTTAATATAATAATTAGATTATAATATATAATTATTAAATTTGTTCTTTTGTATATATTTAACTTTCAGTTCTAGAAATCATATTTATTTAAAATTATATTTTAATTATATTAACAACTAAAAAAAAATCATAATAAAGAAATAAATAATCACCTTCTACGTCGTTATTAGTCCTTACGGACTGCTGGTAGACTGTCCAGGATGAAGGACGGAAGATGGCATGGTGAATCCACTGGCGGTCGAAGTAGTTCACAAGGGACTGGAGGGGCTCGGTGTTGGCTCTCTCCTTCAGTGTCTCGAAGGCAGCAGGGATGTCATCCATGTACCAGATCTTGGTCTCTGACAGGAGCTCAAGTTGGTATCTGGTGGCAAACACAATGTGGCGAAACCCCTCTCCCTGGATGTCCTTGACCAAGAACTCATCTGAAGAGATGAATCCAAGATCCAGCTGCAAAAAAGCATCATAATTAATTATTAACTTATAAAGACTCAATTTGTTTTTATTAAATTCGAATACACAATTACATTTAAAATATACCTCTTTAAATACAGACATCATTAATTAGAAAATGGAATAATATTCTTCATTGTAAGTACCGCTTATAGATATAAATTCTTTAAAACATACATATACATACATGTGTGCCAAAATTATAAAAAGAAAAACAAAAATTATTTTTCAATTAAATATATATATATATATATGTATATATATATAAAATATAATTAACTTAAATTTTGGCACACAACTACATATATAAATATATATACAAAGATATAGAACATCCTGAAAACTTCAAAGGTAAACTATCTTAAAATACAGACATCAGTAATTAGAAAATGGAATATTATTCTTCATTGTAAGTACCTCTTGTAGATATAAATTCTTTAAAACTTCAAAGCTTATATATGTTAAACTATAATGCATCCTAGAAAATATACAATTATAATACATTACTAGAAATTATTTAAGACGTAAGACATAAAAAAATAACTTTTTAGGTCTACTAATATTGAGAATTTTGGGATTAAAAAAAGAAATACTTACCGTTTTTCTGCAATGAAGACAGCTGGTCATGGTGATTTTTGTTGGTAGAATGAAGTTTTTGGAAATACATTTGAAAAACGCACGACTTGTCTCTCATCATTATTTATAATTAATCTGCTCGTCATTAATGATCAAACGATAATCAAACGACTACCCGATAAGCGGTATCTTCAGTAGTTCAGCGGCGCGAATCCACGTGGGGCAAAACCACCCGGCGCGAACAAGTAATCGGAGCGAACCCACTCGGCGCGAACACGTAATCGGAGCGAAACCACCCGCATTCGTTCAATCTAGAACACGTTTTTCATTCGTGTACTCAAAGTATTCGTTCTCTAGCTACATGTTTAGCGTTCATAACAAGTGGACGCGCTACTTAGAGGCTGTGATTAATTTCACTTTTAAATACTACACATAGTTTTATTGCAACGATAATTTGTTTGTCTTTAAAATACGAATCAAACTGATTTATTTTCCATTCAATGTGCATTCAAATGCATTTGATGTTTTCTAACAACTCCTTTTTTTATTGCGTTCAGTGTGGACACTGTAAGTTATGAACGCTTGATTTATTTTATTTTCGTTTAAATGCGTTTTTTAATAATTCTTTTTTAAAAAACACTACTCAGAGTGTAAATCCATATATTTTTCTATTCTAATCAGAAAAAAAAATCTGTATTAAATCTAAATCCAACATCCAATGCAGTAGTGCAGTCTGACAGCCACTTGATTGTAACATATAAACGTGTAAAAAGCACTGCATTTTCAACAAAACAAATGATATATTTTTTGGTTTCAGCATTTCATGAATATAATTTTGGTGTGTGTAGAATCTACAAAGTAAGCAGGTTATTTTGATATGCCCATGATACTAATAATTCAATGCTTTTTTGAGAAATTGGATATTTAATACCACTCATGTCAGCTGACCCAGTATGAAATATGTGCACTCATCATAACTATGTGCTTAGCTAGTTTATTTAATACCCGGAAGAAGAGAAGAAGATTTGCAAAGAATTAATGCATTTTCACTATATAATCTATATAGCCCCGCCCTAACACCATAACCTCTGACCTTGGGACCATAAAATTCATAATTTTATAGAAGGCACTCTTGCTTATCATAACTATGTACTTAGTTAGTTTATTTAATACCCAGAAGAAGAGAAGAAGATTTTCAAAGAGAAAATGCATTTTCAATATATAATCAATCGAGCCCCGCCCTAACACCAGAGCCTCTGACCCTGGGGCCATAAAATTCACAATTTTATAGGAGACACTCTTACTCATCATAACTATGTACTTAGTTAGTTTATTTGATACACAGAAGCAGAGAAGAAGATTTTCTAAGAATTAATGCATTTTCACTATATAATCAATTGAGCCCTGCCCTAAAACCAGAACCTCTTACCCTGGGCCATAAAATTCACAATTTTGGAAAAGGCACTCGTGCTCATCATAACTATGTGTTTAGTTAGTTTATTTAATACCCAGAAGCAGAGAAGAAAATTTTCAAAGAATAAATGCATTTTCACTATATAATCTATAGAGTCCCGCACTTACACATAACCCCTGACCTTGGGGCCATATGAAATTCACAAATCTGGAAGAGGCACTCGTGCTCATCAAAACTATGTACTTAGTTAGTTTATTTAATACCCAGGAGCAGAGAAGAAGATTTTTAAAGAAATAATGCATTTTTAGTACAAAATCAATTGAGCCCCATCCTACATGTAGCACTAGAACCCCTGACCCTGGGGACATGAATTTCACAATTTTGGTAGGGGACTTAATGCTCATTACATTCATGCCAATAGTTTGCCTGCTTGATGTCCAGGAGTAAAGAAGATTTTTAAAAATTGCAATAATTTTAGTAGTTTTGGCCCCACCTCTCAGGCCCCAGGGGGGCGGGGACCATGAAATTCACAATTTTTGCTCCCATTTACCCATAGATGCAGTATACCAAATTTGGTTGAAATTGGTTCATTGGTTTCAGAGAAGAAGCTGAAAATGTTAAAATGTTAACACACGATACACGATGCATGACACACGACGCACGACAACGAACGAAAACGGATAGCAATAGGTCACCTGAGTTTCTCAGGTGACCTAAAAAACTCAATGCTTTATCGACACGATAGCACCTACATGTACGTGTCTTCGCACAATATAATTTTGTAAATGTGAGCATAGAAATGAAAGATTATACATCATTTTAAATATTTCTTCCATAAATCTCAAACAAGAGGCCCACGGGCCACATCGCTCACCTGAGCAATTGGCTAGGAAAAAGGCACATATCAGATCAGAACTGAAAGTTTACTGGGGGGGGGGGGGGGGGGGGGAGGAGTGGGCTTGAATTTTAACCTCCCAGGGGGTCATGATTTGAACAAACTAGAATCTACACTACCTGAGGATGATTCCCTATAAATATCACTAATGGCTTTGAAGTACTTGAAAAGAAGATTTTAAAAGGTTTCCCAATATATTCCTATGTAAAACTTTTATCAGTCATTTGGCTCCACCCTACCCCCGGGGTCATGATTTGAACAAATTTGAATCTACAATACCTGCGGATGATTCTAAAGGAGTTTCATCTTTCCTGGCCCAGTGGTTCTTGAGAAGAAAATTTTTCCTATATTTTCCTATTTAAAACTTTGATCGGCCATTTTGGCCCCATCCTACCCCTGGGGGTCATGATTTGAACATACTTGAATCTATACTACCTGAGGATGATTCCACATGAGTTTCATATTTCCTGGCCTAGTGGTTCTTGAGAAGAAGACTTTTAAAGATTTGTCCTATATATTCCTATGTAAAAATTTGATCGGCCATTTTGGCCCCACCCTACCCCCAGGGGTCATGATTTGAACAAATTTGAATCTACACTATCTGGGGATGATTCCACATGAGTTTCATCTTTCCTGGCCCAGTGGTTCTTAAGAAGAAGATTTTTAAAGATTTTTCCTATATATTCCTATGTAAAATTTTGATTGGCCATTTTGGCCCCACCCTACCCCCGGGGGTCATGATTTGAACAAACTTGAATCCATACTACCTGAGGATGTTTCCACATGAGTTTCATCTTTCCTGGCCCAGTGGTTCTTGAGAAGAAGATTTTTAAAGATTTTTCCTACATATTCCTATGTAAAATTTTGATTGGCCATTTTGGCCCCACCCTACCCCTGGGGGTCATGATTTGAACAAACTTGAATCTTCACTACCTGAGGATGATTCCACATGAGTTTCATCTTTCCTGGCCCAGTGGTTCTTCAGATGAAGATTTTTTAAAAATGTCATTATTTTTTCTCTAATTCAGGATTATCTCCCCTTGGAAAAGGGCGTGGCCCTTCATTTGAACAAACTTGAATCCCCTTTACCTCACGATAGTTTGTAGCAAGTTTGGTTGAAATTGGCCCAGTGGTTCTTGAGAAGAAGAAGAAAATGTGAAAAGTTTACGACAACAACGACAACAACAACAACAACGACAGACGATGGACAAATTTTGATCAGAAAAGCTCACTTGAACCTTCGGCTCAGGTGAGCTATAAAGAATTGAAATTAAGTTTCCAAGGGACAATTCAAGTTGGCTTTTATTTTCAACAAAGCTGAGTACTTGTAGTAGCCCACAATGCATTGCGACTCATTCATCAGTGGGTAAAGTAAACAGATAGCTAATTCACATGCAGATTTATGCTGACGTCACAAAATCTAGTGGTCTCGACCTGTTTATAATAATGCAAGTTTGCCATCAGGTGGCTCAGGATGAAAAAAGTCAGTTGGTAAAAAGGTGACTTTTGTTCTCAGAAAAGTCAATTTCAATGTTTCATTTTAAAATTTGAATTTTTCTGAATACATAAAAAATTACTGCCTTTTGGAAATTAAAACAAGTTTTGGGTCAAGCAATTTTTAGCAATTAGGTTGAAAAAGAGCATTCAACCAAACAATTTTTAAAGGTGGCCTGATTACTATAATTACTACAGTACATTGTCACCAAAATCTTGACTTACCTTCACTGTTTCTTTGTGTTGATGACCTTCTCCCTCAGGGTCAGAAATGTCAACGGTCAACTTCTCTTCTACAATCATACCAAGTTATGTGAAGAAATCTTACAATTTCTTATTATATTACATGAATGCAGGTATGACAGATGAAGTGCAGATGAATAAATAGAGTGATTTAGGCCACTCAGATAAATATATCATATATTTACTGAAACTCAGAAAAGAGACATGAGAATTCTCTTTTGGGAATTTTCTTTTATAAAATTTGGGAAAATTAACACCTACTTTTAACAATCAGGAATGGGGCATATTACAGCCCCCCCCCCCCCCCCACTTTATGACCCCTAAAACCCCAAGAGTTCTTTCTGTCTTTTGATAACACCAGATGTAGACATGCAGTTGACATTTTTTGCATGTGTATATTCCATTGATTTCTTTACAGGAAACCTTAACAGTGCTGCATATACTTTCAATTCTTGTAAATTGGTTGAATCTGATGTGTTGAGAAACATTTGTTAAACAAGACGTCCAGGGCCCACATTGCTCACCTGAGCATCTGGCTATGTAAAACTAAAAGCATAAATCAGTTAAAAAATTTTAATAGAAAAAGTACTGGTAGGTTCAATAGAGGAGGGGGAGGTATTTGAACAAACTTACATGTATATATATACTTCTTACCGATACTTTTAAATAAATATGATACATAATAGCTTTGCTGTTCATAAGATGAAAAATTTTACTGATATAGCCTTTATCTTCCTATGTATAACTCTATATGATCCACTTATATGGCTCTTCTACTTTCATGATTGGTTATGATTTGAACAGACTTGGAATCTACAATACCCAGAATGCTTCCATATAAATTAAAACAGTCACAGATTTGCTGTTCATGAGAAGAGGATTTTTAAAGATTTTTCCAATGAATTCTTATGTTTAACTTTGATACCCGATTCTGGCCCCAACCTACCCCCAGGGTTTGAAGAACTTGAATCTACACCACACAAGGATGCTTCCATATTACTATGACCAATCATGGCTTTGCTGTTATGTAGACAAAGAATTTTAAAGATTTTCCCTATGTATTCCTATGTTAATAAATGTTAAACTTTGACCCCCTATCATGGCTCCAACCTACCCCCGGGGGTTTGAAGAAACTTGAATCTACACCACACAAGAATACTTCCATATTACTATGTCCAATAATGGTTTTGCTGTTCTTCACAAAAATAATTTTAAAGATTATCCCTATGTATTCCTATGTTAAACTTTGACCCCCTGGCCCATCATTGTCCTATCCCCAGGGTCATATTTTGAACAAACTTGAATCTACACTTCCTGAGGAAGCTTCCCCATGAGTTTAATCTTTCCTGGCCCAGTGGTTCTTGAGAGCACAATTTTAAAAGATGGAGACACCACCACTTGTCGGTGGAGAGCTGCAAATTTTGTCCTATACTCCGCACTGAGGGCCATTTAGCAGGGAGGGATCTTTATCCTGCCAGCACCTACTGCCACACGGGGCCTCGGTTTATATGGTCTCATCTGAAAGACCGGACTCCACGTCCCACACTGGGATTCGAACCCATGACATAAGGATTGACCCCTTGCTTCACGACTCTAAAGCAGATGCTTTAACCACTGCAACATGCAGGCGACAGAGAGATTTGCCTTTCATTTGAACATACTTGAATCCCCTTCACCCAAGGAAAGTTTATGGCAAGTTTGGTTCTTGAGAAGAAGATGAAAATGTGAAAAGTTTACGATAACAACAACAGTCACGACAAACAATGGGCAAATTTTGATCAGAAAAGCTAACTTGAGCCTTCTTATGAATAATGGAGCCATGTCCTCCAGTGTAGCAACAGTCAACATTGCTTGACGACGGGTGATATTCTAAAAAATGTTGACTGTACAGAATTTATATGTGCAAGGTTCACTGTAAAATGTATTTTTACATAAAGCACTCAAAATAATATAATAAATACTGCCTTTTGTTGAGTGTAACATTGAAAATTGTCACCCCATGAAGACCCAATATCAACACCTCGGTTGACAATGGTATTCTTGGGATAAAAATGTACAATGTTACACTCAACTAAATGCAATATGTATATATCATTTACAATTAGAATGTTTGTATTTATATGTATGTATATATGTATACCAGTAGATTCTTTTCCCTCATCAGATTCTGGGTCTCTGGTGCTGGATATAGCTGTCTCCATCTCAAACTCGGACATGGTCTGTTTGTTTAGTTATTGATCTCAAAGTCCTGTAGAAGAATAAAGGAATAACTTACATTCTTTCCAGGGGTACCCCTGGTAGTCACGACATCAAATCTGTGACAGGAAAGGAGAAAATGTATGGCTAGACCGGAAATCAAACTCAACTCATCCGTTTCACTGGTGTTTTACCCATTTGTTTTAATTTGGCAATAAATAAATTAAATTATTACAATTCTCATTTTTTTAAACATGTTAAATGTCACGATGTATTAACGATTGAGTATTGACTTAAGTATTTTAATCAGGTCAATATCAAAACTCAGGGCATTCATAATCAGGACGTTATACCCCTTGTTAACTTTAAAGTGCTTTTGAGCAAAGGAAAATCGATATTTTTCAGAAAAACATTTTGTGAACTTTGAAAATGAATTAGTTTCAATATCCTGAAAAAAAGAAAAAAAATATTACAAAATGGCTAAAAAAAGTTTGGGTCGGGTGCATTCCATTGGGTTGGTAAGCAACTGCAAACAAACAATATTTTATTTTAGGCCCTGGCAGATACTCCATCCCAGCTGAGATTTACAAAGAAGGGGGCGTGACTCTAGTCGAAAATCTCCATCATCTGCTTGTGCGAGGATCGGCCTCACCAGTCACCTCCGCACTCACCGTACAGGTCATCCCAACAAGATGAGACAGTGGTCATCGTCGTCACCGACGGATGAATAACTAAACTAGTATATGTGCGTTGGAACTTATCTTTTTCTTTATACAAATTTTTGAGGTACATGTAAAAAATAACTAAAATTTGGGATGAAACAAAAATAATCAAAAAATAGGTTTTCATATTATCAGGTCATCAGGTCATTATACCCAAAAATCAGGACATTATATACCCATGTCAATTTAATCTATCAAATAAAACTGTTAAAAGATAAAAAAAAAAATGATAAATATAAAAAGATAATTTCATTTTGCATGTTCTTTATGATTCAAATAGAAAATGATAATAATAAATATTCATAGTTTTCAATAAGTGCATCTAAAAAGCTTTTTATTTTAGTATATATATGTAATCAGGTCAATCAGGATTCAAATAAATCTTGCAGAATGAGATATATAAGAATATGCGAGTCTAAAAATATTCAGCTTATCTCGGTTATCAAACATAGTACGTCATTGAAATAAAATCCTTTTCCAATGCTTTGTTACATTCTAGTATTCATGTATTACCTGATAAATCAGTCAAATGTGCTCGATCCGTGCGAACCGCAACATGAAGCATTGTTGCCTTCTTTGTGTAAACAATGCAAAATATCGATCCCGACGTTAAATATGAACGCTCCATCCCCCCTTTTTAATTTCTGTGAAATAATAAAAACAACACGGAGAATAACAAATTTTATAAATATATAAATGAAACTATAGTTAATAAACAGATATGAAGACAAGTAAATAAATTAATCTGGCCATCATTTTTAAAAGAATAGTTGAATAAAAGTGGTAAAAATATGCAATTTTTTTTAGAATCACGGCTAGTAGCTCAGTTAATGCTCTTTTACATGTAATATGTTCATCATATCTAGGAGTAATTCTTGTAGAACTTTCTATCACAGTTGGCAACTGTGTGACAAATTATACTTTGCAGGTTGCAAATATATTTAGCTCAAAATACCTAATTTGAGCAAATAAGGGCAATAACTGTCTCCAGCATTAAAGCCACAACAGATTTGATGCTATCATACATTTTCTCTCTAGTTAGGGGAATACCTTACCAAATATCACAATAAAGTTTATTCATCCAAATTGGTACCGACCATCCCCAGTGGCTCGTGGACTAAAAGCAGAAAATATTCATTTTATTACCTATTTCAAATAAGACAAAATGAATAAAAAATAAACAATGTACATTATCAATGGCATAAATATATTGAATATAGTGTATTACATATGACAAAACATAAAGGGCCACGCTCTCATTCAAGGGGAGATAATTGAGAATTAGTGAAAATTTGGTGGTATGTTTTAAAAATCTTCTTCTCAAGAACCACTGGGCCAGGAAAGATGAAACTTATGGGGAAACATCCTCGGGTAGTGTAGATTCAAATTTGTTTAAATCATGTCCCCCGGGGGTAGGGCGGGGCCACAATGGCCGACCAAAACTTTATCAGGTCCAGTACAATCAGTACATTTAGCTACGTAGGTAGAATTACCTACGTAGCTTTATTTACCTACCTCAGGTAGCTTGATTTAGCTATTTCAATGTAACTTTTCTTTTTATGGAAAAGAGACAAAAAATCGCAGTTAAATGACTATTGATATTTATACTAGGTTGTCTTTAAAAAACAATCCAAAGCAGAGATAGTTTAAACATTGCTGCGTTTGGTCAATTTAGAGCAAAACATGTAATTCCATTGTTTGGTTATCTGTCCATGCGGTGAGGCATGACTGAGTATGATTACTTCACATTGTGCTGAATAATTACCAACCTATTATCATGTTAACCAGAACTGGACTTCTTTGTCATTTCATTCAAGGAGTAACTGTCATACATAGCCCCAAAACTTTCAGAACTTTGATTGCAATTGCGCAGAAAAAGACATTTCTTCAAGAGGGAATTTTTCATGAATTGTTTTCACACGAGTTCAAAGTTGAAAATGATCACTGCACCAACATGATAGTTTTTGCACATCCTGAGAAAAATGCTTTTTTATAGAAATAAATTCATTTGGTAGCTAAATCAAGCTACCTGAGGTAGGTAAATAAAGCTACGTAGGTAATTCTACCTACGTAGCTAAATGTACTGATTGTACTGGACCTGTTTATATAGAAATAAATAGGAAAATTCTTTAAAAATCATCTTCTCAAGAACAGCAGAGCCATAACTGCTCATATTTATATGGAAGCATCCCCAGGTAGTGTATATTCAGGTTTGTTCAAATCATGACCCCCTGGGGTAGGGCGGGGCCATAATGGCCGAACAAAGTTTTATATAGAAATATATAGGAAAATTCTTTAAAAATCTTCTTCTTAAGAAAAACAAAGCCATAATAGAGGGCGGAGCCCTCTCACGGGCGAAGCTCTCCCTATAGGTAACACGTATGTATATGAAAAATAAAAGAAATCTATTGAAAACTATATGTCATTTACAATACCTATGGAACTGAGATTCTTGGCGACAATATGGCGTCGGCACAAATGGCGTCGATTTCATCCACGCGCAAATTCTCGTTGTTGATGAGACTTTCATCAAAGTAAAAAACATTCAATCCAAGGATAATGTGTAGTATTTGTTTTTTACTCAAAATCAAATCCATTAGTAATCAAACCCTTCCTACTTTCGTTTTAGACGTTTAGATTTATTTATAGTTCGCGCTAACAAGTAAAACGGCATTTGATTGGTCAGAATTTCCCTGAAGGCGGCGCTGTCGTCTGCACTATGGAGGAGCGGATCTACATGTGGCCCCTTTCACAAGAATATTTGTTAAATAAAATCTGCGAATAATAAATGTCTTCAGGATTATACTTTTCAATACATACCAAGCTAGAAATATAGAATTTTTTTGGACAGTACAGTATAATTTTTTGAACAGTTAAAAATGTTTTAAAAGTGTTAAAATAAAATATCATTTATTGAGTCTCAGGAGACTCAATTAGAGTGTGTGGATTTCTTTTTTTCTTTTCCTTTTTTTAAGGTATCCAAATTATTTATGAATATCTACTTGTACATGGATACATAAATATTTAGCCAATCTATGGAAGTCTGATTCTCATTTTTGTTGTGATTTTTTTAAAATTTAATATTTTATTTTATAAAGTTTTTCAAATGACAAAATTTTAGTTTCTTATAAAGATCACTATCAAAAGAAAAATCTAATATGATGTATGCATTTAAAAAATTCAAAAAGATTTTTTTGACAATTGGAATAACATATAAAGCCTAAATTAAAGCAGGAAAAAATAAGTTAAACAGTGTATAATGTACAGTCTGGGGTAGTTGTTCAGTCTACATACATTTTTCAGTAAATGCATGAAAATATCCACAAAGTTATACAACTTCAAAGTGCAGTGCATGCTGTTAATGTATACCTATTTGTACACTACAATACTCAAATTTAATACACATCAAGCATATAAATATAGTTTACTACAATCCTAATACATGTGCTTATCTATTAAAAACATGAAGCAAATATTCAGAATCTTTGTTTGACATCGATAAAATATTCTATTCATAACTTCTCAAAAGTGTACCCTATTATATTATTCACAAGTGTTGGTCTTGAAATTATATAATTAACTATTTATGATAAAGATACCAGAAAAAACTTTTAATTTCAATGTTTTTCCCACAGATATATATAACTGTTTTCTATACGATTGTGTTAGATCTAGAAAATTCTAAAGACTATTTAAATCAGATTTGTTTTTTTTTAAATTGAAAGGTGAAATAGACATTTTTCATTAAAATAAAGAAAACCATTGGTTACCAATAATGTAAAATAAAAAGAAATAAATAAACAGAAAAAAAGATATATCACAACAGGGACATAGTATTAAATGTCCCTGATCATGCATCCTTTAGTTTCCTTTTTTTTTTTCTTATATAAGGTGTGATGCTTTTATATTTTCAACCATTTTGCTACATTGTAGTCACAGTCAAATGTTGGTCTGATGATTAGATTCATCTAAGAAGTAGATCATCTGTCTGCAGTTTGGGTTCCAAGTTTGTCTTCTGATCTGGTCTTGACAATATTGTTCTTACTTTAGATGACATCATAACCATGGAATGGGAGTAATACCAGTTGAGAAATGACTCAAGGTTTCTAGATAAGTGTTGTTAAATAAGCATATAAATCAAGTAGTGAAAGAAAAGAATTGATGCTCAGAAAAAGTTTATGAATTGATCTATTTTAGAACGAGTTTACTGTTACGTGTATAACTAATGTTACTATTAAAGTTTGAGGTGTCGTTGGACCGAGTGTCTCAGATTTCTTGGGCCCGGTATGTTGAATCCAATACTGGTCCAATGCATGCATGCCTCTCTTTTTTCCCACGATGTTCTTCAACTTTAAGTGCTCTGGCTAGACAACCATTCATCTCATAATGAAATATCTTAGTTTTCAGATTTATTAAGCCATTTTTTTTTCAAGAGAACTGAGTTCTTTGTTACGATTTTCTGACACTACCATAGACCTGTATGAAGTGAACCCATTGCTTTAGGTATATGCACTGACAATTTCAGAATTTAACCGATCAGCTAATTTATTATTGCTAGCGCTCTCGAGCGCTAGCAACTACGTTAGTCCAAATTCCTTGAATACGCATGCTCGGCCGCCATGGTCGTGCATTCTGGGAAAACTGTGAAAAACTACTACAGATAGACCGTACGATAACAATTTCGTTGTATCATGTTGTAGCATGAAATAACTGTTTATTCATTGTGTAACTTACACTTTAAAGATAACTTCATATTTCTATTATTTCAAATTCTGGGGGGTCTGATCTGATTGTTCTAAACAATGACAAGGGAGGTTGTTTTTTGTTTTGTTTTTTTTTACATCTAAGCATAATCAAAGATAGATTCTAATTTCTGATTGGTCAATTCAGCCAATCTTACAAATACCAGAAACAAGCAAAAATTTACACTAAAAATAACGAATAAATCCATCATTTCTGTTTAAAAAATTCTGATGTGTATGGCTTTTAACCTTACATATCTTGACAAATATGACCCAAAGGACCAATTAAGCTACTTCACATGCGTTCCAAACTCTCTGGACTCTTTGGTACACGACATACACTTTGAGCTATTTTCTATATTCCTTTCAGCTCCCATGTATTTTCTTTGCTACATTGCCAATAAATTCTCTTCTTTAAATCAGCTCATACATGCAATGTCTCAATTGGCATCTTCTTCATATTATTACATAGAGCCCCCCCCCCCTCTTCAGTAAAGGTTATATATGTTCCGTTGCGCCAAAACTCGAATAGGTCACCCCCCTTATTTCTTAACCTTTGTGTCTATAAAATACGCCTCACATAACAATAATAACTTTATCACTCTCCAGCCTTGATAAAAATTAAAGAATTCAGCAAAATAAATCACTTGATCACGGATCTTGCTTTCTGTGTTTAAAAAATGCTACGGCGCTAGCTCACCTATCTTTTTAAAAGATAAACTTGTTAAACAATAAAATGTAGAAATTTTCTCTTCACGGCTCCGCCCTCACTAACGGTCACACCGTCTAACATATTAGCCCATATTTATATGGAAGCATCCCCAGGAAGTGTAGATTCAAGTTTGTTCAAATCATGACCCCCGGGGGTAGGGCGGGGCCACA